GTCATTGTTGTTTGGCGGGTCCAGGCTGGGGATTCGAACCCGCCACCTTAGGTGTACGTGGCTGGCGCCTTAGCCGGTTGAGCTATAGGCGCCGAGCCTGAGCTCCTCTTCTTAACAGAGGGGGCAGATAATGCCAAGGTAGCAGGCAAAGTCCTCAGCCCTTGCTGAGCTTGGCAATGGGGATATGGGTTTGTTCCTCAGGTGGGCCCCCTCGTTCAGGCCTGTGTCCTTGTCCAGCAGGTGGGCCTGTGGTGTTCCCTACTTTACTGATAAGGAAACCAAGGCTAGTAAGAGCCAATCATGCCTGCGGACCACCCTCAGCTTACAGGTGGTAGGCTGAGACTTGAACCTGGATCAGGCCAACCCTGAGCTTGGGTCTACTCCCCAGCAGGGCCAAGCTGCTGCCTCTATGCTTACAGCCTGGGGATGGAGTGAGGAGGTCTTTGGTGCCTTGCACGTGGGCTGGCCCTGAATGGACACTCTGTTCTCAGCCTGGCAGCTGTGCAGCTGCTCCCCACCTCCCCCACAGGCCTGGAGCGGGTAGCTCAGGCTCAAGACTGTGACAGCTCCAGGGACTGACATGGTCAGAGCATGGGCTTCCTGGAGGAGAGATCCTGGTTCATAGGTTCCTTCCACAAGGGTCTGTCCCTGGCCCTGAGCTGGGTATTCTGCTTTTAGGGACCTCCTCTAGGAGGCAGTAGAAAGGCAGTCCAGGTACACACCTTGGTGTTGCTCTGGCTCCTTCATGGCAGAGAGGAAAGGGAGCGTAGACTTTGGCTTTGGAAGGTGAGTAGAAGTTGTAGGCAGGGAGCTGTGTTTGTACCTAGGGTAACTATCTCTGAGCAGCATGGGGGAGAGGCCTCAGGGTGGCCCAGGGCAGGACAAGGCCTCTATCCTATATGACCCTTTAGCCGCAGAGCGACGTGGTCAGAAGCACCTGGGAGCAGGTGCAGCCTTGACAGCACACAGGGGCTGGGGCCCACGTGGCTACCACAGCCAGCCACAGGACCTCTCTTCAGACACCCCTGGCTTCCCCTCCACTCATCCTACAGGTGGGGAGGCCAAGACATAGGGCAAAAAATACCTCCTGGGGTCTGCTGCTCACTGGCCTCAGAGAGTACATGTCCCCTTCTTTTTTTTTTTTTTTTTTTTTTTTTTTT